GTTCCCCTCTCCCAGATCTCGCTCGCCACTCTCCCAGATCTCGCTCTCTCACTCGCCTCTCTCACTTTATACAATTGATCTTTTTGTATATGTATACCAAAACAGATTATACAATAGTTTTTTTTGTGTATGTATAGCGATTTATACATATATATGTTTGCTATGCAGCGCAATTATGCAAACTTTGCTATAGCATACAAATATAAATTTTGTGTTTGCTATATTTGAAAGTTGCTCTTTAATGTATGCGACTCAAGTTCATGTACAAATTGACTATAGTTTCCGTCAATGTATATCTGTATACATAAATAAAATAAAAATAGTTTTTTATCTAAAGTTATGTAAATTAGGTATTCATACAAAAAGATAATGCAAAACGGGAGCAAGTTAAATGGCACGACAAAAATAGGACGTCGATGAAACTTTTTAATTTTCTCCCAATTGAAAATTCAAATGGACTCCGCTCTACGCCTAACCCTAGAACCCATGAAATTATTCACTTTTTTTTTATATATATTTTAATATTATTTAAAAATTAGTGTTTGATTATAAAAAAAAATTCATATACAAGTTAAAATTTAGCCATGAATCAGTTTTTGCAATTTATTAATTTTATGGCTTACAATAAAGCTTATGAAATAAAGTTAGATCATAATCTATGATTTTATAGATATTAGATGATAGTCTAACATTTTGTTAAGTTTCATAAAGGGAAAGGCATAGATTCTCCCCTGAACTTGTCTCGAAAAGTCAGTTACATGCTTAAATTATCATGGTGACCTATTAAACACCTTAACTATTCAAAAGTGAATTTATTACCACCCTGAGACGTGTAACACCACTCTCACATTATGTGGTGTATTACACTCGCTGCCACATCAGCGCTACGTTAGCGTCATGTCATAAATTATTAATTTTTTGTTTTTCTTTTCTTTATTAATTAACTTTTCTTTTGTTAACTATATTTTACTCTAACTAATCCCTAATTAATTGTTTTAATTCTCTAATAATTATATCTTCTTCCTCACTAATCCCACCAATTTTCAATTCTCATTTCATCGGAAAATCATATCCGGCCCCACCTTCACTATTGATTTTGTTCTTCACCACCACTATATCACCTTAAATTCTTCTTCTTCTCTATCACCCAACACCAAATATCACCACCACCATTATCAATATCGATTTTTTCTTCTTCACCACCTTCAATTACCTCTTTTAATTGTAACACCTTGTATCCTGGATAGGCAAAAATGCAGATTTTGAGAAGTTGCAGGTGCAACCCACGGACTGTAGGTCAGACCACGACCCGTGCTGGTGGTCCGCGGTTCACCACTGCAACCCCTCCCCAAACCCAGCTCAAAACATTGGCTAAGTCTCGACCCACGGATAGACCCGCGATCCGTAGGTCAGACCACGGTTCGTGGTTTGTGTCAGTGGATCAAGAATCCTTTACCCAGCCTCTGACACGAACTACGGTTGACTAGCACGGACCGTCGTTTGATACACGGCCCGTACGTTCCGTTCGTCGATCACTCCGACAACAGTTAAGTCAGGGGTCTTTTGGTCTTTTCATATTTCGTTGGACCCCTAAGCTACGTCGTTTAGACCCTAAATTATGAGGTTTTATTCAGTTTAAGCATAGAAACATAACTATAACTTACCTAAGTTAAATCATTAATCAAAACTTAGAAAATTAGAACGCTAAGAGGAGAAAGAAGTCAAGAACCCTAGTTCAAGAACGTAGCAAGTTTTCTTCAGTTCTTGCCCAGAAATCAAAGGATTTCTACATGAAATTCGTCACCAGGTATGTGGGATTTCACTAGTGGGTTCCTTTCACCCATTAGGTCCCTAGTTTTCAGTCAGTTTCTTGATTCTCTTATTATGACTAAACCTAGGGTTTCTTGAATGTTAGAATTATTGGATTCTTAGCTGTCAGAATGATCCAAATTAGATTAGTATGTTAATATTCAGTTTATTGCATGAATTTCAGAACCCTAGCTATGTATTTCTTTAGTTCTTGAATTACACATACCAGGTCAGATATTTCGGTTATTCAGTTATACATGCCTCAGTTATTAATGCATCAATATCAGTTTAATTGTTGCATACTCAATTTTACATGTTTAGTTCGAGCTATCAGTAACTTACATAAATTCAGTCATAATGTGTTAATTACTTAATCCATTGGGAGTAGCATAATACCGAGTTGGACTAAGGTTCAGCGTACCCAAATAGTCCCAAAACTACTAGCTGTTGTGCCGTAATAGATTTAACATAAAAAATAATAACTTACAATATTTGATAACTTTGAGAAAATAATTAAATAAATGACGCATTTTTTTTATTTTTTTTTAGAGAAAGGCATCCAAAAATGAAACATTTGACTAGAAATACAAGTGATTAGAATATTATTAGAATTTATTTAATTTATTTTGAAATAGTAATTTAACCCAATTTAATAAACTAAAGCGTGAAAATCGTTTTTAAATTAATTGTCTAACCTTTTTGAGAAAATGACTAGGTAAGTGTATATTTTTGTTTATTATTAATTGAAAAGGTTTTAACTAACATTTTAAAGTTTATTTAAGAAAAATACTTTAACTAAAAAATAATTTTTAAAGGAATAAAATGTGATTAAAAAGCATTAAAGAACATCTCATTTAAGAACCAAAGGTTTAACTTAATTGAAGATATAAAGTTTTGATCAATATACTCGATTAATAAGATAAATGAACACAAAAGCATGAAATGTATTAAAATTAAACCGACACAAAGAAAATAACTCATCTTTTGGGGAATCTAATTAAGTTAATTAAGAATTATAAAGTTAGGCTAAACAACAAACAATAAATAGTCACAATTAAATAATTAAAAAAGTAAGGGAGAAATTGAATTTGGGCCTCCTTTTGGGCCAAATTCGCTGAAATTTTTGGGGTTTAATCTTAAACCCGTTTTTGTATACATCTGATGTATATCAGTGTATATGAGCATATATATTTGCTCTTTTCATGTATCTCTTTCTTCTGAAGCCCTGTAGTTTGACTCATCTCTGTAATTTTTATATTTTTTGACCTGCATATCAGTTTCTGGCCTTGTATATCATGTATACGATTGTTGTATACCGGTGTATAAAGTTGGTATAGTAGTATATACAACTCGTTTTTCAGCTTCCGAGACTTTGTGTTTGCTGCCCTTGCCCTGTATATCAACTTCCAAAATCCGAACAAGGATGAAGGCCGACTCAAGTAGGATGTTGGGCTGTTTGGCCCAACGTAATGCAAGGAGAAGAGTCCATGAATGGACTCAAGTATCATGCATACAAAGGAGGGAGTAATGAATTAATAGCAGCTCAAAATTGCATAAAAAAGGGTATTTAATTTTTAGAGGACAAAGTACGAATCATAAACACATGAATGGAGAAAATCAATCCAAAAGCAACATGAAGAAAACTGTGTGAAATAACGCCTAGGTCCACTCAACTTTAACCAAATAGTAGCTCAAATCTATCCATTTTTATTTATTTATCTATAGATTATTTTATTTATTTATTTTGTTTTGTTTTTTAAAAAAAATAGCTATAATCTACTGGAGCATCATATCAGCAAGAGTATTCATGATTCCATTTTTTAAAGAAAAAAACATTCATCAAATAAAACTACACATGGTTTTAAATCTTGACTTAAGCACCAACATTTAAACAAGAATCTAACAAGTAATGCTAATTTAGAAAAAAACATATTAACCTTAGTGACTTATTAGCAAGAAATGGAGCAAGCAGAATACTATCTATCAATTATAAAACAGATACGCGAAAGCTGAAGAAATACTATTGTTATATATGAGTTACGACAACTATTGAGCAACAAATATATTAGTATCTATATAAATAGAACATTTCTTACACCATAATAGACAGGGAAATCTAAACTAAAACATGAAATGATAGATTTCTGAAGCGTTGGTATCAAACTAGATATCACAAATTGCTACATAGAGAATCACCCGAACTAAACAAAGAGACTTTGATTGAGTATAAATCAAGAGCGAAATATTATCCTCTACAACTTAATATCGGTGGTCTAACTTCACGTCACAACAAGAATTAACAACAACATCCCACATGAACATTTTAAAAGAAAATAAAGAACTACAACTAATACAAGGAGAGAATAAACCGAATAGACAAAAATAGATGCTGGAAATGCAGTAAAGAGGAGCTGATTGCAGCAAGCTCAATTTAAAAAAAAACTAGACTTAAGAAACAGAACTTTGCGGAGAACGTAACTTTGTGATTTTGACCAAAAGAGAAGCTATCATTCTAAAGCATTCTAGCTTATAGTAATATCATTCTAGAGTGGGAAAACAAGATGCGAAATTAGAGAAAAATATCCTATATGGGAAAGACATCAAGACATTACTGTAAGGTTCAAATGCCTTCAATTGGTAAAGTAACACCAAAACACATCGAAGAAGATTTGGGTATGAATCTAGACTAATAAAACAAATAGAAATGAGCCCCCCATTATGTCAAAAAATTTCAACTGAATAACTAGTTTTACATAACTCAAATCGTCAACAATATGAACAAGAATTATAATGCACTCGATCAATACCATTTTCCATCAGAATGCTCAAGCAAGAAGACACGTAACGTTGATCAATCACCCCAAAGTATAAATTTGCCTCAAGAGTTCAACAGTACACTTTTAATTAGAAATAAAACACTAGCTAAAATGAGTTAAGGTTAAAATAGGGTTACCTTTTCGAGGGCAGCGAACTAGAGACAGCGCGAGCAGAGCTATGATCTTCCTGCCACAAAACTCAAATACGAACAACAAACCAAGAGAATTTGAGCGGGGACCTTCTCGGAACTTAGAACAAGAAAGCTAAATATAAAATTTTAAGTGTGGAATTACTATTGCCAAAGAACTCAAACTCAAAACTCCCTTTTTTCTCGCTCTATGCTCCCTCCTAAAATACATAGAGAAAACGATCTTAAATAGATGAATAATAGGGTTGATTTTTTAGGGGGGAAAACGGATGGATTGGAAGAATTTGAATTCGAAATTCAAGTTCTCTTTTTGATAAGGCTGCTGGATTTCCGCGATTTTGTGGGATTTTTGGACGTTGATGGACTGCTGGATTTCACACGCAAGGAAGAAGAAGAAAACAAGCAGGGGTGGGGTCGATTTGGTGCTGTTTGGAGTCGTTGCTGATTCCGTGATTTCTGGATTTATCACGTGAAGAAGAAGAAGACCGGTATGGGCAGTGGGGTCGCGTACGTTGTTCGCTGATGGTTCTGGTTTCTGGGTTTGTTCACGTTCCATGGAAAAGGAAGAAGAAACGTATGGGAGTGGGATTGGTTTTGGGTTGTTTTGAAATTGCTGTGTATTGTATATTGGGCTGGGAATTGCCATGAAGTTGGGCTGCTGAAATTAATGTGAGAATGGGCTGGAAATTTGAAATGAAAAGGCCCAAAGGTAGATCTTTCAAAGAATAAGAGAAAGTGGCTAAACTTTCAAAATAGTCAAATGAATTAACAATTTAACGAATTTGAATTTAGTCAGTGGGTTCGACCAAAAGATAAATGAAATGAGTTTATATAAATTAATTAATGAGCTTCTTAATCTTTAACAAAGTAAAATAATTAACTGAATTATGAACTAATAACTCAAAATATAAGTATTAACTAACTAAACCAATTAACCAACTACAACAACACAACAACATACCCATTGAAACAATTAACCAACGAATTAAGTAAAATTAAATTATTATTTTTATTGAGATGATTTTCGAATATTTATAAAATATAATAATTAATACATAATTATCTAAACATGTATATTAATTTTTTTTTTATAAAAATGAAAGACTATCTAAAAATAACTTGCAAACTATATTATATATATATATTTTTTTAAATTTTAAAAAAATTAATTATTTTAAAATCATTTGAAATTGGAGAAGCTCAATGATTAATTTATATATATTAGAGGGCCAAAATTGGGTGTCAACACTAGCCACGTAGGTTGTAAGTCCCCTCTGTGGGCATCATTTCAGTGATCACGCCAGTATGCCTCTATACCTCTGGCAGGGTATATTGGGTCCTCTCGATGGAGCGTATACATCGGACTTCACATTTAGCTCATGTGGTTTTATTATCGATTATTAATAGCTCCCACAGTTCAGTCAGATTCTATTGCATTGACCATTTATTTGTATAGTCAGTATTCAGTTTCAGCATGTTATAAATTGGTCACTGCATTCAGTTTTCTCAGCATTCAATATCTATATCATGTTCAGATTATGACATTACTTATTTGCTTTATTCAGTTATATGTTATTTCAGTTGTATTCTATCATGCATGCTCAGTACCTTTCAAGTACTAACGCATACGTGTGCTACATCTTCTCGTGATGTAGATTCAGGTTTTCAGCATCCAGATCACGCTTAGATCGGTTTCCGATCTTCAGTTCAGCAGAATCAGTTGTGAGTCCTCATTCTCCGAGGACAATAGTCATGAGTCTCTTTTCAGTATTATTTTTAGTCCTTTAGTTTTCAGTTTTGTTAAACTTAGTTGGGGCCTGTCTTAGCATTTCTAGTCAGTTAGAGGCTATTTTCAGACATAGTTAAATTCAGCTTAGTATTGAGTTAATATCATCTTTGTATTAAACTCATCAGTTATCATTTATCTCAATTATAGTATATGGGTATTCCCCATCTTTTCATTTTTATTTATGATTTAGCTCCCGCATCAGTTTATTATCTTTAGTATGCTCATGATAAGGCCAACAGGGTTAGCTTGGGATCACTTGTGATCCTAGGTCCCGTGTCCGCGTCTCGGGGATAGTCTTGGGGGGTGACATTAATGTTTGTCACCTGCCACCCACCACCACTAAACCCATAAAGCTGCTATTACCACCAAAACGAAAAATTGATTAACAACCAAAAATTCTTTAACAAAGTCAAAAAAAAAGAAAAGATAGAAACAATCAATCAAATTTTTTCTAGATAAAATACAATTATTCACTAACAAATCTATGGGAATTAACCTAATTGCGAATCAAAAAAAATTGTGCTCCAAGATTGTGATAAAAAATATAGGAAAAATGCATAAGTACCCCTAACTTATGCCTGAAATCTCAAAGACACACTTAAATTATACTAAGGTCCTATTACCCCCCAAACTTATTTTATAAATAATTTTCTAGCCCTTTTCGGCCTACGTGGCACTATCTTTTAGGCCCAATGCGTATTGACAATTTTTTCAACCTATCTGGTTGATAGTGCCACGTAGGCCGAAAAGGGGTAGAAAATTATTTATAAAATAAGTTTGGGAGGTAATAGGACCTTAGTATAGTATAAGTGTGTCTCTGGAATTTCGGGCTTAGGTTGGGGGGTATTTATGCATTTTCCCAAAAATAAAGAAGTGTGATGAAAATAAAGAATGAAGAAGAAGAGGACAATGGATGGGGTTTGAAGAAGAAGAGGTGTGGGGGGGGGGGGGGGGGGTTGGGGTGGAAAAGAGGATTCTAACTTTTTTTTTTACTTTAATTTCAAACTGACGCGCCTATTTTTTATTTTTTTGCCACGTCAGTTTTAGAGGTAAGAAAATTCATTTTTGAATAGTATAGGTGTGTAATAGGTCACTAAGATAGTTTAAATGTGTAATTGACTTTTCGGGACAAGTTCAAGGGAAAATTTATATCTTTTCCATTTCATAAATGATATTTGCCATTTTAAAAAATAGAAAGAAAAATTTAACTAATAGTCAAAAGAACCTTTGCATAAATCATCTCCTTGAGTCCAACATTTAAATACACAAACAAATCTTTTAAGTTGTAACGGCTAGATCTTCCACTTCCCAATTCGAAATTCCAAACAATCACTATAAAGAAAAAAAGATATATATAAGACCCCAAAACCCCTCATTTCAGACCGCAACCGCTCTCACTTCGCACAACTCTCCGATCAAATTCCGGTAGCCGGGAAGATCGATTTTCAATTCCCATCGCCGGAAACATTTAATCGGAGTTTACGGTTTGTTTGAAGTTTCAAGATGGATCTTTCGCAAGAGACCGAAGATTACATTCGTGAATCGATTGAGTACTCTCTTGGTCTCCCTGTTTCGTCACAAACGCTTCAATTAAAGCTTCGAGCATCTGAAGAATCCCTTGTTCGTCTTCGGAATCAGTATCTTTCTCTACAAGCCAAATTGAAAGAGAAAGATGAAACGATTGAGCGCACTAGGGTTTTTACCTTATACTCTCCTCTTTGATTTACTTTAATAAAAATTCTGAAATGTTTGTTATAAATATTGATCTTCTTTTATTTATCTTTGTATATATAGAAAAATTCATATGCTTATGTTAAGATTTTATTTGATTTTGTGCTTCTTCTCTTAATTGTTGATGTTTTTACTTGTTAGGCTGAGTCAAGTATGAATGCTTCGGCACTGAAGAGGTTTGTGGATGAAAATCAGAGGTTGGCGGTGGAGTGTTCGAATTTGTTGGCTCAGTGTAAGAGGTGGGAGAAAGAGTGCGCTTTGTATGATCATGACCGTGAGGCATTAATGGATTTTGGAAATGAGGCAGATGAGAGAGCAAAGGAAGCTGAGATTCGTGTTCATGACTTGGAGGAAGAGGTTCGAAAGTTATCTGAAGAATTGCATTTCTACAAGTGTCAATATGAGACCCAAATGGTATGTAATTCCTCCTTTTTTGTTCTCTTGGTTCCCTCCCATGTTTAACTTTATGTTTATTCAATGTTATGTGGTGTTATTGATGAATTGTTTATAGCATTTATCAGGCCAACATGGGCGACTTCCTTTTAATTTTAAAATTTAATGTTGTTCTGAATGTACTAACTTAAGTCTCCAAAGTATTTACATAAAGTGATTTATTGCATAAAATTTGGAACCAACTAAGTATGAACAGAAGTTGTGAAGAAAAATTAGGGGAGCTTATATTACAATGTCTAGTATGAAATGGAGGTTTGCATCTGAAGTTTTGTGTGATAACCTAGACTTAAAGGCAAATTCTATAGAGTGGTAGTTAGACCAACTATGTTGAATAGTGCGGAGTATTAGCCGGTCAAGAACTCTCACATCCAGAAGATGATGAGGATGTTGTGATAGGTGTGTGGGTCCATACTAGAAGAGATATAATTAAAATTGAAGATAGCTAAGACAAGTCGTGAGAAGTAAGGTTGAGATGGTTCGAGCATGTGATGAGGAGATGCACATATGCCCAGTACGGAGGTGTGAGAAATTGGTATTGATGGATTTAGGAGAGGGAGAGGTAGACCAATGAAGTGTTGGGGAGAGGTGATTAGATAGGATATGACATAATTGTAACTTATCTAGGACATGACCTTAGATAGGAAGATGTGGAGGACATGACCTTAGAGAGGAAGATGTGGGGGACACAAATTAGGGTAGAAGGTTACTAGGTAGGAGTGTGTCCATACTAGTAGGTAGGAGTGCTACTAGTAGTCGTAGGACTACTCTTGTAGTTTCTTGTTCTTCGATTTCTGTGATTATTATTTAGTGTTCTATTCTTTGTAGTATTATTTTGTTGTAGTACTATTATGTTACTATCTATTGTCTATTGTACTTTCATTATGTCTTTTCCTAGACTGTTTTTGCCTTGTGCCGGAGTTCTATCAAAAACAACTTCTCTACCTCAGGTAGAGGTAAGGTATGCGTACACTCTACCTTCCCAAGACCCAACAATGTTGGACTACACTGTGTATGATGTTGTTGTCGTATGTAATACCATTATGTACGTAGGTATGTTATGAAGCACACAATTAGTAAGTCTTGTCATCTTATAGCAATTATATTGCTTCTTCCAAGAAGCTAGTTTTCTCACACATTTTCTGATAAACATTGCTAATTGGTGGACGCTCTCAACTTTTCGCCCAAAGGGTACTTCAAGATATGTTGTGGTAAAGTTTCTAAATTTGCATCCCAGAGTACTTTTAAGAGATTCAGTGTAAGCTGAATGCATTTACTTGAAATAGATGATAACAGATGAATTTTTGCTACAACATTAATTATTCACATTATTTCATTAGGGTTTTTGATATCTACTCAAACATGAAAGGGGTTTCCGACCCAGAAAGCTTCATAGAGCTGTTTTATCTAGATATCATGAGGCTCACTGCTTTGTTGACTCCCCAACTTTTCAACCATGGGTTATGATGTGGTTAAATAACTCTGATGGTAGCGTACATTAAGCTAGAGGTCTCTTAAACCCTATGTTGTACCACTGTCTCCATTTTTAGGGTTTTAGGCATAAGGTCTCCACTTTTGGATTTTCAGAATTAGGTATACGTACGTTGTTA